GTTTCACCTAAAAGAGCTTTAAAAATTGCCAGTACCTGGGCCTCAACGCTAGATTCTAATTTAGTAGCTGTACATTGTAATTTGCTTCTAGGTTTATTTCCAGCTCTCTGCTCTTTATGTATGCAACTGAGACTGTCCTGCATTAATGTCTGACTATGCATGTGAGCTTTCCATAGCTTCATCATAGTATGTATCACATGATTTTAAAAATCAGGTGAACTACTTGAAGGCAGAATCCCCAGAAGCTAATATAGGGTTGACATGGGATGTGCACAATAAATTTCTAAAGAATCAATATAAATGGACTCTACAGACAGATTTTCATTCTTATCTTGACACTGGGCAGTACTAACCAAAGCCTCTGGTTCCTCTGTAGAACATAGTTAATAAACCCCATCTCTAAAGATTTTTAAAAAGTAACTGAATTAATGTATGTATGCTATCTAATATACATCTGTACTCCCTTCAAGAAAGGAGAGTGTTTTGTTTTGTATCTTCGGTATGACTTAGCACAGGATTCAATTAATAAATATTTGGTGCCTTAACTACAACAAATACCAGCTGTTTCTTAAGATTGGCATTCCACACATACCAGGTATGTTGGCCTGGAGATGCCCCTTGGATACAGATCTTAACAGCAAAAATGAATATGTGTAAAAGTAGTGTTATGCCAACTTTATCTCCAAGTATCTGCCTCACTTTCAAATAGTCCCACAGATATCACAGGTACTTTCTCAAGATAGATCTCAGAAATTGCCCCAAGTGTGTGTGTTTGTATATTTTAGGTAAACTTCTAATCATTTAAAATTTTTCATTTCTTTTTTTTTTTTCTTTCGGTCGTGGGGCTTGAACTCTGGGCCTGATCGCTGTCCTTCAGCTTTTCAGCTCAAGGCAAGCGCTCTACCACTTGCGCTACAGCACCACTTCTGGTTTTCTGGTAGTTTATTGGAGATAAGAGTTTCACAGACTTTCTTGCCTGGGCTGGTTTTGAACCATGATCCTCAGATCTCAGCCTCCCTAGTAGCTAGGATTACAGGCCTGAGCCACCAGCACCCAGCTAAAAATTTTAATTTCTAAGGGCTGGGAATGTAGCTTAGTGGTAGAATGCTTGCCTAGCATGCATGAACTTCTAATCATTTATAAATTTTAATTTCTTTTTTTTTTTTTTTGGTCCAGTCGTGGGGCCTGAACTCTGGGCCTGGGCACTGTCCCTCAGCTCTTCAGCTCAAGGCTAGTGCTCTACCACTTGAGCCACAGCGCCACTTCCGGCTTTTTTCTTTTTGCTTATGTGGTGCTGAGGAATCGAACCCAGGGCCTCAGGCATGCAAGGCAAGCGCTCTACCACTGAGCCACCTTCCCAGCCCTATAAATTTTAATTTCTATGGGCTGGAAATGCAGCTTAGTGGTAGAGTGCTTGCCTAGCATGCATGAAGCCGTGGGTTCAAGTCTTCAGTACCATATAAACAGAAAAAAACAGAAATGGTGCTGTGGCTCAAGTGGTAAAGTGCTAGTCTTGAGCAAAAAGAAGCTCGGGGACAATGCCCAAGACCTGAGTTCAAGCCCCAGGACTGGCAAAAATAAAAATAAAATTAATTTCTAAGGAAAGAAGGATGGATAAACAAATGCAGGCATGGTACTCAGTAGACACTATGTGTAAAATTAACTTATGACTTGTGGGCAGCAATAGGAGTGGCATACTGGGGGAAAGTGAAGGGAGAGGTGACACTGTACTTGTTACGTGGTTTATATAATGGCAACCCCTCAGTACAACATCTTAATAATAACAATAATATTGAAAAAAATGTTTAATTTTTGCTGGGTGCTGTTGGCTCATGTCTGTAAACCTAGTTACTCAAGAGGCTGAGATCTGAGGATTGTGGTTCAAAGTCAGCCCAGACAGGTAAGTTCATGAGATTTATGTCCAACTTAGCATCAGAAAAGCCAGAGGTGGAGCTGTGGCTCAAGTGGTAGAGCTAGTAGACTTGAGCAAAAAAGCTTGGGGACAGCACCCAAGCCCAGAATTGATACCAGGGGGAAAAAAAAGAAAAAAGAGAAAGAAAAGAAAGAAAAAAAGAGAATATTTAATTTCTGAAGCAATCATATATAGTTATTTCCATTCTACCATGTTCACTTTGCAAATAAAAAAACTTACACCTCAGAAAAGTTAAGACCTAAGGTATGCCATTAGAAAACAGTACAGCCATAATTCAAACACAGTCTGTCTAAAACCCATCACTTATAAATGGAATTGGCTGTGTTTAGGTTGGTGAGATATTCAAGAACTCAGTTTATGTCTTTCCTTATTTACTCTAGCATTGTCTTTGGAACTTAATTGACTTACTCTAAAGGAATGAATCCTAAGCAAATATGAGTGAACAGCATTTTATTATATCATTATCTTTTTCCCTTTTTCTAATACTAGAGCTCAAACTCAAGGCCTTGCCCTTTTGCTTGCTTTTTTTGCTCATGGCTGTTCTACCACTTGGGCCACATCTCCACTTCTGTGTGTGTGTGTGTGTGTGTGTGTGTGTGTGTGTGTGTGTGTGTGTGTGTGTAGAGAGAGAGAGAGAGCATGCACATTATTGGGAGATAAGAGTCTCAAGAATTTGTCCACTTCTGTGTGTGTGTGTGTGTGTGTGTGTGTAGAGAGAGAGAGAGAGAGAGAGAGAGAGCATGCACATTATTGGGAGATAAGAGTCTCAAGAATTTGTCTTCCTGGGATGGCTCTGAACAGCAATTCTCGAATCTCAGTCTCTTAAGTAGTTAGGATTACAGCCATGAACCACTGGTACCTGACTCATATAATTATTTTTTTATATAGAAGCCAATTATTAGCTTGAAAATAATAAGTCATTGAAATCTGAGGTCACCTTTAAAATACTTCTTCATTGTGGGCACTTTTGCTTGAGTCTCTGACATTATAACAGGCTTTTTCATTCTTTGATGTGGGGGTAGTACTAAGACAAATCCAAGAACTAATTAACTCAAGCCATCATCCTAAATCTGACATGAAGATGGCAACTTAAATGGTATTTTTCAACTCATTAAAATATTGATAAGCACTTTCAATAGACTAGAGGATAATGGTGCATTTTTTCTTTCAGTGCTGTAGATCAAACCCACGGCGTTTACATGCAAGGCAAGAGTTCCATCACTGAATATAACCCACAGACCAGACATAACTTAAAAAAAGAGCCAGACACCAGTGGTTCATGCCTGTAATCCTAGCCACTCAGGAGGCTGAGATCTGAGGATCCTTGTTCAATGCTAACCCAAGTAGGAAAGTCTGTAACACTCGTATCTCTATTTAATCACCAAAAAAAGCCAGAAATGGAGCTGTAACTCAAGTGGTAGAACACCAGCAAAAAAGCCCAGGGACGACAACATCTAGGCCCCGAGTTCAAGCCCCAGGACACACACACACACACACACACACACCACACACACAAAGTCCAACATCTAGGCCCTGAGTTCAACACACACACACACACACTCCAGAAAAGCTGAGTTCAACA